CCCTGTCTCAAAAAGACAAAACAAAACAAAAAAAAACAAACCAAACCAACCAACCAAACAAAAAAACCTTTGGCTTTAGCCTATAGTGAAGAATGGCTCTCTCTCTTGTTTTGGTTTGGTTTCCGCATCATTGAATATTATAAAATCTATTAGTTTCTTCAGGGTTAACCTCCCCATGTCTGGACGTGGACCTTGGAGAGTACTCCCCGTCTTCATCTTTACACATATGGTTCACATCCTGTTTCTTCTTCTTCAGACAGAGAATACAAATTATCCTGTCCTCAAATCAGTTCTTCCCTCAATTCTTTTCCACAGAATACAAAAATTTTATTATATTCTCTTCTTCATCCCATGTTTCCTTTCTTGGTGAAAGTGCAGTTGTCTTCTAAGCTGTGCAAGGTAAAGCTTGAATATCAGCCTCTTTAGTTCGAGTGCTGTGGAGCCACTTACTTCCAGGGTTCAAATCCCCAGCACAGCGAAAGACATGATTTCAAATAACTTTCCTTTTTCTTCTTGTGTTTAATCCAATGACCATCCCACTTCCACAGTAACGTAAAACCCCGAGGAGACCTTGATATTTAAAAAATAAAATAAAATTTATGTGATGGATGTCTAATAGGGATGAGAGTAGGCTTGAAGCAAGAAGGTAGTCTTACAGATAAAAGGAAATGTGTAATCTAGTCTGACGACTTTCCTATTAAATTAGTTTTGAGTCTAGTGTATTTATTTATAAGATTTACTGATAGTAGTTTTGATGTAAATTTGCAATTTCTTTCCTTTATCATACTTCTATGAATTATTTACGTTAGACCTTATAAAGTAAGCTGCTGAGAATATCCAATAGAGAATCATAGCATTTCTCCTATTAGATCTTCATTCTGTTCAATAAATTCATATTTCAGCACGAGTTATTCATTTCTGGACCTGGAAGCCTTCAGGCCCAGTAAAAGTAAGGTGGGCATTGTAGTGGTTCCTGTAATCCTAGTACACAGCAAGAAGCTTGAAGTCTCAAGGTCAGCCTGAGCTACATAGTAAGACCCTGACTCAGATGAAGCAGGAAAAAAGCCAATGAAAATGAATTCTGGGGAAATTAATTTTGTTGGATCAAAATCTGTAGGTGTGTAAATTTGTGTGAGATGGAAGCTGGGGATCGTGACTTTAAGACAATCCTTAATTACATACCAAGTTGAAGAGTTTAAAGCCAGCCTGAACTACAGTAAGACCCCGTCTCAAAAAACCAATAACAAAAACTCAGGAGGCATTATCTCAACCCAATAAAACCCTTCTAAGTCATATATACATAAGACTTAGGAGGGTCTGGTGCCTTGCAAGGCATTACTGGCAAAATTTAAAACTTTTTTTATGAGACTTTGCCAAACCTAGAAAAGAGAGAAGTTTCTCATTTTCAGAATCACCAAACTATTACATGGCAAGACTTAGGAAAAATTGGACAGTAGTTGTCTTTAATCAAGTGTTAGGTAGAATGTGAGTAATTCTGAGAATCACACACACACCTATCCATGTTTTGTTTGGGGGAGGGGCTGACCTTGAGCTTATCATGTAGCCCAGAGTGATCCTGAACTCTCAGTCATCTTGCTTTCACTTCCCAGGTGCTAAGATTAACTGCATTTGTCACTAAGCCTGGCTCTTTATGTTTCAACACATTATCTATAATTCATTTTTTACCTGTCACAGTCTACAAGTTTACTTACACTTCCTAAAGTTTTATCTTACATAATTAGAGTTACTAATAATGAATATAATTTGTTAAAAAGTATTTTAATATGTATAATTTAATATCATTGACTTTATATTGTTATCATAAAAAACAAATAACCAGTTCATGTACTCCCCCTTGTGGTAAATATTAGGGCTAGCCAAATGTTTTTATATTAATAGTTGTTAACTCTTCACATTACCTTACAAACAAACGAGAATAGGGATTTGAATGGTCCAAACACTAAGAAGCATTCCGACTGAACTGGGCATGGTGGTGCATGCCTATAATGCTGTCCTGAGGCCAAAGACTGCTGAGAAGTCAAAACTAGCACAAATTGCAGTCAGATAGGTCAGGCAGAGTTATATAGACCTTTGTGTGCGCGTGCGTGTGAGTTAGGAAATCTAGAAAATCAGACTGGACTTCGTATAATAGTTAGGAGGGTATGTTTATGCAGCAGAGCCCTAGTTGTATATGTTATTACTTTAAAGCCTGACCAGGTCACACCCCAAAAGGATTGCCTTTGGCCTATCTGCAATAGGACCCAGGCAAGATGGCTTTGGATAGGTCCAGTTTGTCCAGTTCCCAGGTTACTGATAATACGATCATGGCTGAGAACTACTTCTTTAGGTTTTAGTGTTCTTATGTCCCTAACCTGGTCTGTAAGTGGGGATGGGCACATCATAAAGTTCTGATGTTCTGTTACTTGTCTTATACTTCACAGCAAATGAAGTGCTTTGAAGTAAGCAGTGGTGGATCCTCAGGATTCCTTTTAGAGTAAGAAATAATTTTTCAGTAAGAAGTAATGGACTAATCCTAGGATGCTCCACAGGGAAGAACAAGCACATAGTCCTGCCTTCATGTTTTCAAATGAAATTGTAGGTCTGATCATTTCCTTCCTTCAGTTTTCCAGCTAAATGTTAGGAAGTCCTTTTGTCTAGGTTGTGTTCTGTGAGTTAGCTTTATAGAAAATGTCAACAGTATAGTGTAGTGTAAAGCTCTTGGGTTTCCTTGATGACTGTCAGATAGATGTCTGTTTACCTACATCATATTGCACCAATTGTGGGGTATGACGTGAAGGGGGCACTGCTGTAAATAGAGAATAGTTACTGTATTTTGCCTACTAATTATTGACCTTTAAATGTACACTTTAATTATTGAGTAACTGATAAATATGTGAGCTGGTTACAGCTAGGTACAATTGTTAAAAGAAGATAATTAGTCTTTAGTTTTATTATATTAGAATTTTGTTATTTTTATTATTTATCATAACTGAGATTTAATCAGTCTTAAAAATAATTTCTAATATATAGAATACTTAGATATTTCTTAGTAACTCTTATTTGTCTTAATAAACTGTTCCTATTTTCTTTTTAAAAAGTTAGTTTAGTGTTGTATCACCTGTTAGTATTTTCTCTCTATAACTGTATACTATAGAAATAAAGCCTTTATTATTTAATAAAATCTGCCTTGGTTAATATAAAATAACATTGGATTGTATTGAATACAAAGTCACATTTACATTTCCTCTGGAGTAGTTTCTTTTTTTATTCCATTGGCAAGTTGTACTGTTGGTTTTGATTTATATGATCATATGTTTTTAGAAATCTAACTGTTTATAGTTTCATTTCGTATTTTCTTTTTTTTTTTTCTTTTTATCCTTTCCCTGGGTCTTCTACAGGAGCAGCACATACTCTTAGCTGCTGACAGCCTCTCTTGTCCATTAATTCTGCCTTTTAGTAATATAGTTTTATCTTTTATATAATTTATATATAACTAGAATATTATAATAAATAATATTTATTATTATTTTCATGCCTAGAATATATGTCAGGCATATTTATTACCTCCTTATCTGTCTTCCTCTGAGTGCTTTTAGGCTGAACATTCCCCCACATATATTAACTCCTTTGAAAACTGAAGTTTTTCATCTAATTTTGGGAGGAGGGTTTTGCTTTGATTTTTTTTTTTTTTAATGAATCTTCAGTTTTACTGTTTAAAGTATTAGGAATTTTAAGGAATGTTAAACTGAGGTTTCAGTTTTCAGATGAAAGCTTACCCGTTTATAAGTAAGTAAACAAAGGAAGTGCTTAGGATTGCCTCAGTCATTCTGCATTGCATAATGCAAATATCAAATACTTTTTTTGTACTATTTGAACATCTAAATTCGCTCATCTGTAGTTGACTTTTTCTTAAAGTACTTGTGGCTAATAAAGACAAGACTGGTATGCGTTGTATTGTGACAGACATTAGAGGACTCCTTCAGTTACAGATTATCTAAGGAAAATTAGTAAACTTGGCATGGTAGCACGGTAGCACATATCTTTAATACTACCACTCCAGAGTCAGAGGCCGGAGACTCTAAGTTCAGGGATAGTTGGGGCTATACAGAGAGACTGTTTTTCTAAAATTAGAATAATAAGAAAACACAACGTTCTTATGAAGCCTTTGCAGATTACAGTAAAAGAATGTAGAGCTTAAAACCTATTGGACTCCATTTTAGTCGACAAGGAGAACTTGATTGTCAACTGCAATTGTGTATTGCCTTTATGAAGAGAATGGGCACCCAGGATATGGAGTAGTAATGTTAGAAAATACTGAGTCCTAGATCTCAGTGAGCAAGAACCATCTGCCAGTTACAGGGAGCACTGAGTAAGCTCTCTCCCCATGCTCTTTTCATGGGAGGTCTTTCCAGCCATCATCATGTATAAAAATAAGTGTGGTGTGAGAAGCATGAAGTTTGCTGGAACTCTTAGCCACACCACTGAGAACCACCAGATTTTGAATAAACTGAAGCTGATGGTAAAGATACCTCAGCTAGATATGGTGATGCATATTTCTTCTTGCTACTCAGGAAGCTAAGGCAGGAAAACCACAAGTTAGAGACTAGCTCAGCCTCCATAGTAACTTGAGGGCCAGTCTGAGTAAGCAAGTTAGTAAACAGAGGGCTGGAGGTGCAGAGTGCTGACTAGGACAAGGTCTGGTTCCAATTTCAGAATGGCAAAGTGACACCACTGCACCATTTGATCATAGTATTCCGTCAAAAAACTGTCTTTGGAGATGTGTAGGCTTTAGCCTTGTAATCTCTTGCTACTGTGCTCACTGCTTCCTCTTCATAGAAAATAGGTGATATAAACAGATTTCCGTTCAACTGTAAAATCTAGGTAGTAGCTGTTTGCGTATTTCTTGCCTCTTTTAAATCCTATTGATAGATAAGTGCACAGAAATTAAAATTCTGGGGCACATCATTAATATTTTTTTAAAAATGCTTATATAATTACAGGTCCTTTTGGAATAAATCATGGGATTGAACTTCATTCAGATGTGGTGGAGTATGCCAAGGAGAAACTGGAGAGTTTCATCAAAAATAGTGATAGCTTTGATAAGTAAGTATTTATACCTGTAGTTTTGGTATGAGAGCAATTAATAAATATGTGTAGTATGCCTATTCTTAAACAGTATCAGATTATCCTGGCTAAATGAATGCAGTAGAAATCTTTGCTATACAGTGAGGAAATAAGTTACCATGTAATTTTTTATTATAGGTAAATATGTGATTACTGATCTTTCATTTATTAAATACCATATAGTTAACTTTTGGGTAGAAAACAAGATGTTGTGCTCATGGTACTTTTCTGTAGCTGGTTTCAGCCTTTTGGTTGATAGTTTCAACAGTATGTTTTCTGTTTGTCTATAACTTATATACACAGCATACAAAGGTCCCTCCTTACTCCATAATAAATTTAGTAGAAATTACTGTATAAATACATCTGTATGTGTCACGTGGGATCATGTTTGGGAAATTGTTTTATGGAATTGTTTACCTTTACCCTGGCTTCTCTTTCCAAGATGCATTGCATAGGTGTTGATCGTTGGTGAAAGCAAGTGAAAGTGAAGATTTGGGGTATAATCATGAGGAAATTCTGCCCAGACAGTTTTGTGGAACAACGGCTCTTATGGCTGAACTTGAAATAAATCCTACAAATTGAAATAGCTTACTATATGTAGGGCTTTAGTGTGTCCTATTTCTGTATAGCGTGTTGTAGTTTCCAATAGGGAATACCTTTAAACAGATAGGAAGCATAGACATAGAACACAGTCATTATACAGCAAGGTTTCAGTGTAAAAACTGACCCAGGCTCCAGACTTGGCTTTTTAGCAGGGGTCTCCCACTCATCCCTAGCTCTGGCTGTAAATGCCAGTGTGAAAAACTGTAGGGGGACAAGAGCACAAACCTAGAGAGTTCCAGAATCCAAGGACACTTTGAGTACCCTCCAAAGAGTGTATCTTCTTTTCTGCCCTTTTGCTTTCTTCCTCCTCCAGTTGCCCTTGCATTTTTGTCATCTTCTTTGTGTCTATTCTAGTGTGAACAAAGCTTGGGGACTGGTTGAAGAAAACAAAACAAGCCCCACAGCAGTTCCTCAGCTCCTGTAGTCTAGCAGAGGCTGTGTGCAACAGAGGTGTGATTGTAGCTGGATCATTAAGCACTTTAGGCAGGATTGAGGGAGTTGAGGTGCTCAGGTTATTTTTTTCTATAATACACACAATAGATTTTAAATTGGCCAGGTAAATTATCATTTTGCTGAGGAACTTTGCTCTTTAGAAGATTTAATCTATATGAATGTTTTGCCTAAATCTCTGAATACAACCACATACATGTCTGGTGTATACAGAGTTCAGGAGAGGGCATCTAATCCTTTGCACTCTAGTTTTAGAATTTGAGAAGTACCGTGTGGGCTCCAGAAGTCCACCCTTGCTCCTCTGCTAGAGCAAGTAGACCAAATTTCTGAACCATCTTTCCAGCCCCTGCATAACTTTTCTTTAGGGATAATTAACACCTAGTTCATAATCTCAGTTATTTTCAGTTACATACTGAATTTATTCCAAAAAAGAAACGCATTTAACAGAAATCAAAGTTACTAGCTCAGTTATTTAATAAGAAATTGATATTAAACTTTACCATCTGTTTATGTCTTCGTTATTTTCTACTGTCTATTAACTAATGTGGTTGCTGAGTTTTGAGATGTGGGCAAGATTAATTTTTATTTAGCTATTGCTGTTTTTTGAAGTGTTTGATTTCTTGTAAAATATTTTAATATTGAACCTTAATCTGCCCATAAGAAGGTTTTGAATATATTTTAACTTAGAAAGTATAAAAGCAATATTAATAAAGGCTTAAAAATCTTTAGTAAGGTCTATTACAGATTACTTGTTAGTACATTTCATTTGTTGATACATGAAGGTTCAATTTCTGGTCATTATTCAACAGGCTTAAGGAAGACTTGAGTCACTAAGGCAAATCTGTTCAGGTTTGTTGATGAGACGTCATCTGGGTAACAGTGAAGAATGCTATGATTTCAGTGATTTTCATTTTGTATAGTATAACAAATCAGTTTGAAGGCTATTAGGTGTCTCATTTGTTATCTATTTAATGGTGTGTGTGTGTGTGTGTGTGTGTGTGAATATGGACATGAAGGTATGCACACGTGTGTATATGTGGAGGCCAGAGGTTGATATCCAGGGATCTCTTTCATCAATCACTCTTCATTTGTATGTTTTAGACAGGGTCTCTCACCTGAGTTGAAGCTCATCAATGCAGCCAAGTGTGTGCTACCATGCCAGGCTTTTTACATAAGGGATACAAACTCAGGTCCTCATGAGCATGACAAGCCTACTGTGGTACACTTTTTCAGACCTTTCCTCTCTCATGTCTCAAAAAAATATTTTCACATAATTGAAAATGATAAAATTTTTTCTGCTTGTTTTTGAATTTTTGTTACTGTTATGCAGGTTTTAAAAATAATTCCTAACATGATCCATAGCATTCAGCAAAGAATAATCCAAACGCTTCCTTGCGACATTGAATGTTTATGCTGTTCTACTTAAAATCATTAACTAGGTGTTTATCATACTTGCTGAAGTTTTACAGCTTATTTTTGAAACATTTTTATGTTAATTCATTCTAAAGAAGATAATTGGAGCAATTTTATTTTACTTCTTAGGCAGGTGGTGTTGTAGTCAGGTTTCTATTATTGTGATAAACACCGTGACCAAAAACAATTGGAGAAGGAAAGGATATTGTCCATTACTAAAGGTAGTTAGGGCAAGACCTTAAAAGCAGGAAGCTGGATACAGGAACTAAAGAGGAGGCTCTTAGAGGCGGCTTCTTACTAATTAGTTCCCTATGGCTTGCTCAGCCTTCTTTCTTATTGCTTGGCATGCGCTCTACCACTGAGCTAAATCCCCAACCCTTTCTGCCTTATTGCAACCCTGGACCACCAGCCTAGGGATATCAATGTCCACAGTAGTAGTCTGGGCCGGCACACATCAATCATAAATCAAGAAAATGCCCCCACAGACTTGTCTACAGGCCACTCTGATGGAGACATTTTTTTCTCATGTTTCCTCTTACCAGAAGACCCTAGCTTGTGTCAAGTTAACAAACTAACCAGAACAGGTATGAAATACTACTTAATGTTCAATATCTTATATTGAGCTTATCTTATATTCTTGTATACAAAGAGTAGCTAGTACTAGGAAATTGTTTCATTTTTCATAAAATAGCAACTGGTATAAAGTTAAGTAATCAAAGTTGATTGGTTGTTCATTTTTTTTTTTTTACCTAATTTGGTTTTGATAACCAGTTAGAGGATATGATATTTTTCTTTCTGTCATACTTATATCTTGATTCTTTAAGTTTTTTAAATGTTAATATATTATTACTTTCTTTCAATTAAATAATTAGAACATTTGCGAACTGTAAAAAGTTTCTATTGAAACAGTTTCATATTTGTATATATGTTTATCTATGTGTGTATCAAAATAGAGATCAAGAAAGATGGATCATTAAATTTTGTGTTGGTATCTCACCATCTCTAGAATTTAGCATGGAAAGAACAAGTGCCTAAAATCCAGTGCTGTTCTTCATCCGGGGAGTCCACAGCCTTCTCATCAGCTCCTTTCTTCAATAGTATTGCTGAGCTGTATGTGTGTTAAGCTACACTTTGAAGGTTTTCTTACATACATGTGCCTGGATCAGCATGAGTTCTCATAAATAAGAAGGCAAGAATATCTAATATACAATGTAGAAATACAAGAGTGTGTGTGTGTGTGTGTGTTGTACAAACCTGTGTCTTGTATCCTAAATTATGTTTGTTCTTTGAGTAAAACTGTCCCTAATGTATGTCCATTAAATTATGTTACCGCTGCATGAACAGGTACATGGCTCAGAACAGCTCCTCAGTTTACTGGATATGGAAAGCTGGAGTGAAGGATTACTTATTACTCAGGATTCACTGAACTTCCTTTTGAACTGGTCTGATTTCACAACACAAATCGTAAACACAAATGACCAGATGAATTTTCAGCATGCCTGGGTTCAGTGGTCTCTAAAGATAGCCAGTGATTTTGCCTCTGCAGGAAAAGATGGCTCCAATCTTTTGAAGGCACGGTCTTCACATGTTCTAGAAGGTTTCCACTGCTGTTGCCAGTTTATTGACCTTAATAGTTTCCACACAGGACACAATGTTATATTTATTTTTATTAAACATTTTTATTGCATCTAATTCCAGAAGTTGATTCTTACCTTCCATTATGTGAGTCCTGGGGATTAAACTCTGATGGTCAGATTTGGCAGCAAGCAACTTTGCGCACCAAGCCAAAGTTCATTTGACAGCCCTCAAAGACCATTTTTTAAAAGTTCACTCTGATCTAGATTGGTATTGGGGCAGTATTGTTGAGTTTTTTGAAAAGATTAGGTGCTTAGTTGAGGGGCTCTCTGCATGCACCATGGCTAGGAGAGTAATGTTCCACATGAGGCAAGAAGGAAATACTGTTCTACAGGACTCAGTGCCGGGGTTGGTTCTAACTTCTAGAAGCTGACACTGGACAGTTTATTTTCGTCATATTTAAGCACGGGACAATTTTGGGGAAAAAAGATGATAACTAACCCTATCCCATGTGTACAAGAAAGCTTAAGACATGTTTACATTGAAACTCTTTATAAAGTATGTATGATCATAAAGATGGGCTCTGTTAACTAAGAAACAATCCCTAAGATAAGGGTCTCGGAAGAATGACTGAGGTAAATGTAAAACCTTTGTGGAGTCAGGTGACACCTGGCTCTCCATATAGCGAAGATCACCAGGCATAGAGTAACATCGTCTATGTCCGGTTTTCTGGGCTGGAATCAGTTATACATCGCTTCTTTGAGGAGACAACCATGCGTGTTTGACATTACTTCCTGAGCTCTCTATCTTATCCACGAACACAGAAACTAATTTTATGGTTGGGGGTCACCATAACATGATGAACTGTATAAAAGGTCATAGCATTAGGGAGATAGAGAGTCACTGTCTTAGACTCGGGCCAGTTAAAATTGAGTTTT